AATAACTGAGCAATAGAAGCATTTATTTCAAAAGAAACTTGTGCATCTAGCAGTGTTTAAGCAAATAACACACACTTAAACAAGCCAGCTGATCTTTTGAAAGGTATCAGCTAAAAATTAATTGCAAAAATGGAAAACATGAGCCATGGTGCAATATTGGTGCAAAAATGGAGCCAAATGATGTTCGTTACAATGATTGGTTTAAATAATCAACATATTACATATAATCATCTTTGGTTCATAAATTTTGCAAAGCAACAGCAAAGAGATAACTATGGAATAAAGAATAACATGGCAACTTAAGAGACTGTCATGTGGAGAGAACTACATATGATTCAGATCATTTAATATTGATGTTGAAGTTTCTAATCTTTCCAAAGGAATCCACTTTTCGAAAAAGGTAACACCACCAAAAGATTACTTGGAAAGAATAAATACATCCATACAGCCATGATAGATAAAAGTAAGTGTGTACTGTGACACAAAAGAAAAAAGGAAGTCAAGAGGTATTCAGCTGACAACAGAAACCCCTCTTATTTTATTTGTTTTTTTTTTTTAAGGATAAACCCTTATAATTCAGGAAAAAAAAGAGAGAGAGTACTTCATGGAGCCTGAATTGCAGTCACGGAGTCAGATAGCTCCACCACTGTAGACCCTATACGTAGAATTATATATTAATATTAAAATCTAAAGACCCACAGCTACATTCGCAACTAGAACTCCTTCATGCACATTGAGTCATTGCTAATTTGCTAGTAATAGCCTGATAAAATTTATTTCTTCTTCCAACAGCAGGGAGTCCACAAGCCTATACTTCAATTTAGCTCCAAAAGGTCTTTCCTTAAGTTATATGATCTAGTGCCTACTTAACAATCAGCAGATGGGCTGTACTTTCAATTCTTTTCGAACATTGGTGAAAAAGTTGGATTAAGAAGCCGGAATATGATAGAGAAGAATTGGTATATAAGGGACATGTTAGCCTACTTCAATTTTAGCACAGTGAGTTAAAAATAATTCAGTTTTGCCATGGCTATATGCTTTAGATTAATTAGTTCAATAAGGCTCAAATACAGCTAGTATGTTACCCATCATGCTTTTACTGGACACATTGAACTTAATTGACCTAAAAAAGAGAGCTTCATAATTGTATTCCAGTATTGAGTATATTGAATTACATCACTTGTTCATGGTCAGGTCAAGCCACCATGCCTAATATAACAAAAGAAGGATATAAAGAGTTCACTTTCTTATATCTATTAGAGTATTAGGTAAACAATTTGGAAACACATGCATGTGACTACATACAGCAACTTCAGCAGATAAAGGATGAGAGCCACCAGGCTTACTTCAAAGAATCACAATTATAAACATAAAAGCTCCACCAGCTAATAATCACTCTTTCGAATTTTAAAGACGAAAAAAAAAAAAAAGTCATAACAAACCTCCCCATTTCTCTGAATCAAGAATCCATGCGCAATATTCTTCATTAGTTTTCCCAAGAAAAGCTTCAGAGTATTTTACAGGATCGCTAGACACAGTAGCAGCTATAACCTTCCAAAAATAACAATAGATATTATTTTTCCTGTTTAGTAAAGAGGAAATAAAAGAAAGAAACAGACTATCTATACAAGAAGCCAATATTCAACAGAACAAAATCCTATAAACATCCAAGTGCCCAATCATAAATAGTTATTTCACATCCTCTGTTTGATGGGAAGTTATACTTGACAGAAATCAAAATCAAAACTAACATATAGATTCTTTAGCAAGAACATATTGTCCCAAATGCAGCTATTACATTGTGCAAATAACAAAGGAGTACATAAGGAAAAAAAAGCCAGATATTCCCACAATTCGATTGTAATCATTTTAACAAGGCAGCCAAATCTTTTATACTGTGTATAATATAATTTATTTGTTAGAAGTCCACTAACAATTTAGCCTCAACTCCATATTTTCCTCCCTCATAATGAATGTGACATACTACCACATACAACTTCATTTATTAATCGATACAGAAAGGCTAGATGATAAAACGAAGAAGAATCATATAAATGCAGATACACACCATATTATATATTTCACCATTCTAATCAATCTAACAACTTAGCCCTGAAAATTTTTACTGGTATTAAAACAGATCAGGAGTCTCACCTGTCTTAATTCAGGAGCCTTCTTACTATCATGATCCATGACATATCTGCAAAAATATGAACAATGTGAAATCTGTAAACACCTCGCGCAGTATGCCAAGAAAATTTAGCTATCCTTGGATCGAAACTTACCCAACAGCATTGAACAGACAGCTGTTATCAGACGGGATTACACGCCTAACAATAATACCTTCCATATTACAGAACCAATATTACACCTGTAAGTAAACAAAATTACAATCCGCATATCAGAATTCATACTGAAGGCATTGGATAAACAAGAACAAAGGATTAAAAAGCGATGTTGAAGAATTCGGAACGAATTGTGCTTCAAGAAAAATGAACATTGCATAGCATAATGTAATTCAATGTCAGGCATGTAAACTAAAGAAACCAACACAGTATCAATTTCAAATTTGGGGAACAAAACAAAAATAATTCAGCAATGATAATGACACAAAGGGGAGTTTAGCTTCTAGAATCCAGCAACAAAGTAACAAAGAATAACAAATCAAATTGAGTAATTCTTCCTATTACCCTGAACAAAGAAGCAAAGAAGCAACGAATTTCAATATTTTTTCTTTAAAAATAATAAAATTATAGATGGGATTTATAAGAAAATCATGAACAATAAACTGATAAAATACCCATTATCAGCAGCACCAAAACCATCCAAGATTTGCAAAATAACCCAGAAATCTTCTTGAAGCATCATAAACTATGCATACCAAAAATGTAAATCCACCATCGAAAACAACCAGAAAAATTTTGCAGCAGAAAAATGAAAGAAATCAAAATTGCAACAAAAATATTTATTGAAAGACTCACAATTTTTGGAATCTGTTCTTGTTCTGGAAACTTAGAGCTGGAAAAACGAAATTCTCTCTACAAATTTTGCACCGATTTGTTGGGAAACGTTTCGTATAGAAGAAAGTTATCTGGAAAGTAATCTGGGTTTCTAATTTTAATTTGAGAAATCTGCCATTTTTAAGTTGTAGGCTGTCTGATTGGGTCCCACTATCCTACTATTTGAAGAAAGGTTGATGAAGGAAGAAAAGAATATTTTCTTTTACTTAAATTTTCATATCCAAATGTACACAAATTATTTTGCAAGAAAGTTGGTGTCCTAATCCAACAAAAATAAAAAAGAAATCTCAAAAAAAAAAAAAAAAAAAAAAAAAAAAAAAAAACTTTTGGTCATTTAATTTATTTATTTTTAGCTTTAAATTTTTATTTATTTATTTTTTTTAAAAAAAAAAAAAAAAAAACTAGCTCCCAACTATCACGAGATTACGATTAATGCAAGGGGACATACAAACAAAAGACATAAACTGGGGTTTGGGATACAACATTCATGATCAGCTAGACAATACAAATAAGGTGATTGACAAATTCCATTACAAAAACTAGTCATATATTTAACCTTGTTTCAGTGTTTCTTTACGCTTCTTGGACTTGCTCAAAGCTTCAAAATGATATTTGTACTACGTAATATATTTAACCTTTCTTGTTCTTCACCCTTGACGTATACAACCTTCTATGTTTCATTGCCTTGGCTTTTGAACATGAAGGTAGGGGGTGGGGGAAAAGATTGCACTTGGTCGGGTTTAAAAGCCATGAAGTCATCTTCATTAGATCCCACGAATTTCACTTTTTAGCAATATTAGTGGAGGATATTCTCACGTAAGAAAAAACTTCACTCCCTCCTCAATGCTTGAACCTTCATCATTGTTATTAGTTAGACAAAGAGAAATAGGTTCATCTTTCTTCTCAACAGTAGGTAGTATTGGGCTTACCAAACCCAACAATATAGTTTGGGTCGGGTTATTCAAGACTATTTATGGAAGGATTATTCAAAGTTAAATAATAGTTGTGATTATTATGAGAAAAATCTGATAGTTCAGATTATTTTTTTCTAATTTTTTAAATAATAAAGTTATAACTCAATTTGTACCTATGAACTACTTACTACTACACATTAGTATTCTATCAATACAAATTCTTAAATGGACCTGGTTCACACTAATTTATTGTGGACCACGAACATTAGAGAAAGTATGGTTGTTTTATTAATAAAAAAAAAGTTCACTATAATTAAAAAAAGGTCACTATATTGAAATAAAAATCATTTTGGTAATATATAGGCCTAAATGGTTATTTTTGTAATGAAATATTTTATATACTGATCAATATGAATAATAAAGGCCACTGTGTTAAAATTAGGGTAATAGCGTCGTATTTCAAGTTCACAATATTATTAAACGTTGTAGTAGTTTTAATAAAGGTTACTAGGTTAAAAATAAGGTTACTATGTTAAAAATAATGGTCACTATGTTCAATATAAAGTCAGTTGCGTGTGTATAGACCTCGGATCCACAATAATATTATTGTGGACCAGGTCCACGCAAGTCTTTTTGTTCTATCAAAGATAAAAAGTCTAAACCTCAATTAAATCCTAAAAATTTTACTCCAAATTTTATTCAAAATAAAGCTCTAAACTTTTTTTTTTTTTGGATCCTACAAAATCTATCTAACTTTTAATCTTTTATTTTACAAAAATCTATTCAAATAAAATCTTAAGTGTAACCGCTAAGTGTCTTTGTCTTGCATTCAGGCTAAAAATAAAACTTTATACATCTATACTTCTATACTATATATAAAAAGACGTTTCCAATTAAGTTCACATGATACGTGACACTTTCTCGGCATTTCAAACTCTTGATATCAAGGTTAACTAATAAGAACATAACCATTGAACTATATCTTAATATGTGTCTTTAATAGCAAAAAGAAATTATAAGTACTAGAATTTTGTTTTTGATAGAGATTATAATAAAATATTTGATCATGAATACATTCACAATTATTACTCGTGTAAATTTGTAATACGAGTACATGTTAACCTGCGGCATCCCCCTATCCAAAAAAAAATGATACGAAGTATGATTTAATAAGTTGTTTACTTATATCATTTACTAGTTTAATCATGATATTGTTACAAACTCATAATATTTTCTATTTCGAACCAAAAAATCTCAAAGGAAAATAGTTTTTCATTTCATTGGCAAATCAAAACAACACAACTAGGCAAATTCAAGGTCATTCCTTTTCTTTTTCTTTGTTTCCCTTTAATCTCATTCCGTTTACCCCACTAATTTCTTAACCCATTCCCCCCAACATTTATAAACCCTTCTTCTTCGCAAAAAAAAAAAAAAAAAAAAAAAAAACCCAAAATAATAACCACTGCCACATTCTCCACCGCCGGCCACCACCCCACCCTCCGGTGTAGGAGTGTGTGAACGGGAACAAGATATTTGGCAGTGAAGTTCGCACCTTTTATTGCTTTTTATTTTTATATTTATTTTTAAATAATTAATAGGATGTTATTGATCTTATTGCATTTTAATTTCAGGGTCTTTGATTTTTTGAGTGTTAACGAATTGGGGAAAATCGCCTGAATTACATTTGGATGGCTTGGAGGAGGGTCTGTGGCCGAAAGGTTACTTCTTTTTCCTTCAATTTTATTGATTTTGTGTTGTTGTTTTTGAGCTTAGTATGGGTGAATTCTATGAACTTGATTCCATAGCTTTGTAATGTTCTTAATTTAACTCGGATCTTTGGTTTTCTAAACCCTGAGGATAGAGGGGTTTGGGCCTTTGGGGTATTATAAGTTATGCAATTGACAATGTTGAACTTGTTGGAAACTATTCACTCAATTAGACAACTGAATTTCAATGAATTTTTCAAAAATATGTTTTTGTTTCGGAACTAGTGAAGCTTTTAGAGGGGATTTTCACTTCTTAAAGTGGGTGATTAGAGATGGATCAGGGTCAGGGTCAGATGTCTTTCCTTTGTTTGACAACTAAATTGGCATTGGGAACCTTATACTTTTGCTTGATTGATATAGACTTAATGACCAAGAAGGAATTCGAGCTTAGGATTTGTGATGTCGTTGTGAATGAAAATGACGTCCTTATATTTCAAAACCATGATCTAGATTCATGGTTACAATGTCAATATGTAAAAAAAAAAAAGTGGTTCATTCCTTTTGATGTCAGTTCTCTTTATGGCCTTGAGCTAAATAGTAAGTTTGACGGTAATACTCTTATTTTCCTGTTTATAAGAGTGATCATTAAGATGATGATGATTTAGTTTTGATTTTTTAATTCTTGGTTTGGCATATTCTTCAGAGATATTGCTACCAAATTAACTCCTGCACTCAGAAATATTTTTAGTCATTTATGCACCTGTTGTCCCAATATGACAATCCGGAGACTTGACACCCTATCCGATACCTTTTCTTTTTCCTCCTGGGGAGTGGTTCCTGAAAGTCCTGCTATATAAAACTCCTTGGAAATAACTTGCCATAGATATCCTGTTTGTTTGCATGGTGAGGGTACTGACCTGAAATGTCGGAGATGCCTTCTATTGGAAGATTTAAGTAGTTGGAAAAAACTTATTTCCTAGTATGACTCTACCCTAGTTGCCTCTTTTCTAAATATGATAATGAATATAATCTTTAATCAAGTGAGATATGAACTGACCTGCTTTAGTACTGGATGGGTCACAGTGACAATGAAATTGTTGGTGGTTTGCCAGGAATTTAGAAAAAAAAAAAAGCAAGAACATTAAAATTTGGTCTCTGAAAGAAAAGCTTTTCAAAAGCGTGGTTAATGTTGAAAATTTTGATTTCAAGTTGGCCCTGTTCATTTGCAGTTTTGCTCAGTAATAGGGCTGAGATTGATTAACGTTCTTGATCCTATACAATGATATTAAGCTGGACACTATTAAATTGATAATGCAAGGGAGGTGTAGCCCATAACCTTCTTGCTTACTTAATTGTGGACTGCTGAGTTATCACGGAGATTATGAACCTGGTCAAGTTTGAGTTCTACTTTCATGAAACCAACCTATAGTTCTATGAATGGTCCACCCACCACCTTTGTTATGACATATCCTAGTTTTCTGGATTTAGGCTTGTCTGACTCCATCCCAGGCCCTGATTGAGTTGGACCGTCCATGCCAGATATTGGTTCCAGTATATAAACTTCAGAACATTCTCTGTCACGAACAAAGAGCTCTAGAGTATCGTGATACCTTTTTTTTCCCCCTTCTTCCCTCATCTTTGACTGTGGGCATCATTGTTCTGGTTCTGTTTGATTGCATAAAAGAATACCCTGGAATATTATATATTGTGTTTATTTATTAATTATGTACATTTTTCTCATAAGTTGAGGAAATTTATGTCAACATTGTGTTTTTACCTTCCTGCTTATTGTAGGTAACTTATATTGCAAGTCTAGCAAACTCTTTGGCTATTCCAGCTCCTGGAGGTGCATTGGTGTCAAGATCTTACTCCAAGCATGCTATTAGGTCAATCTTAGAATCAGAGCTATGGATGCCAGGTAAAGTCAAAACGTGCTTTTCCTATCTGCTAGTCCTGTTCTCCTGTATCGGTTTAATTGTGACTGGCCTTTGATAGGGTTCATTTATCAATGGGTAAATACAAGTTAATCTCTGAGATACACAAAATTTGTTAATCACATGGCATTTTTGTAAATAAATCAACAACTTTTTCAATAAAAGTGGGTCCCACAGTGATGATGACTAGATAAAGTTGATTTATTTACCAAAATGCCATGTGATAAACAAATTTTGTTTATCCTAGAGATTAATTGGGGCTTCGCTTTATCGTTTATCCTAGAGATTAATTGGGGCTTCGCTTTATCAATTACAGTATTATTTTATGGAAAGATGATTCTTCTAAGTTTCTAATGACTAGTACCTTTTCCTTTCAATTTTTTCTTCTTCTTCTTCTTTTGTGTGTGTGTGTGTGTGGCCTTTGATATGGTTCGCTCTTGTGAAGGTTTTTTAAAAACAAGCTAGACAGATCTTAATTTTTGACTCAAATATCGATATTATTATTTGACCTTTGCTTTTGTTATTTTTTGCTGTGACAGGGTCATTAAACAAGCTACAATTTCTTGGTGGTCTCAATCACAAAGCTTTGACTAGGCGGCCTTTAGTGCGGTGAGTTGATTCTTTTTTAAGAAAAAAATCATATGCTTACACATCTTGCCTATTGAATAATCAGGAAAAATTGACAATTGTCTCAAGACTCTCAACTATGCCAATCCTTAAATAGGGCCCATCTGAAATTTTGTTTAATTAGGTTCTGTTCTATAACCAGGAACAGTCCCATGATTGTGGGATGCCTTCCCCAATTGGTCCTTGGTGACCTATGCCTTGAACAATTTGTAATCTGAAAGTTACTATGCCATGTGGAGTGATTTTATTGGTTCCCTTGATCGTTTTTCCCTTAAATGAAAGAATTAAATAAAATTCCCTATCCTTTCTCTCTCTTGTGGCCCATGGCTTGTCCATCTTTAGGTCATCTCCAACAACCCCTGACCACACATAGGATTCACCGGCAACCCAAACCCTCACAGGAGTTTAGTTGATAATATTTTTTTAGTAGCATTCAGGCAGCTAGGAGAGAAATAGATCCGCCTCAGTCAAGATGAAATTGCAGTCTCAAGGCAGTTGGTGTCATTGTGTTGCAGTTTAATTCCTTTTGCTTGTGTGTTGACATATTAGACTTTACGTTGGATCATATTTCAATTGATTGAATCATATTATTAATATATGTGAGACCCTTATTAGTTATTACTCACAAAATCACCAATTCAAACCCACCTGCCATATTTTAATTAAAATAAAATAAATAAACAATTTGAGTCTCCTTTCAGTATGTTCAGTGACCATTGGTGGACAGGTGATTTTGGGTGGTGGTTGGGCAGGTGAGGGTTTTTATGGGTGGTGGAGAAGGTGAGGGTACTGCTTGGAAAAGGATAAGGAGAGATGTGTGTTGGGTCTTGGTGGTTGTTGGAGTTGGTAAGGAGTAGCAGAGGATAGTTGATGAGGTGAGGGACTAAAGGTGGAGGTTATTGATTACCTGATTCTTTTATGGTGGTTATGAAACTCAAATGACCAAAAATGGAGATGATTGTTAAGAAGGTCATGTAAGTATCATGTGCCATATGTTATGATAAAGTTTGCTTAGGAACATAAAAGATTATATAGTGGGGTCTATTCCTAGTTATTCAAACTATGTCACGAGGACTCTTTATTTCACCTCAAGTACCCGTGTCGAATCCTTAACACCGCACATGTGTAAGACACTGTGATTCTTAATATTATAAAACAGCCAAGTTGGACATTTGGATATGTACCCTTGTCGGACATGGGTACCCTAGTCTGAGTAACATATAAATGAGTAACATATAAAATGTATGGATTGTTTATAGGATAGATATAGTTGGGAGCCCTTGGGACCATATTGTCAATTGTACCTTACATATGGAATCTTCTTTTGTGGATGTGGTGGGACTTTGAAGTCTTATCTTAATCAAACCACTGGATGGATGTTGGAATAATGACAATTGGAAGTGCGGCCAAGACCCAACAATAAATAGTACGTAGTATATGAGAATATAAGGGTACATGAGACTAGGCCTACATCCTTTATGCCAATTATACTCCTGTCAATCTCACAATTTCATTTTAAGTGTGTTCAATTATTTGAGATCCATTGCTCTTAAATACCTTGAATGTTCCTTTCCATTTAGTATAAAGGGGAAATCAATGGTTACTTTGGTAGAAATATTTCAGAAAAAATGTGTCATAACAATCATAACATCTAAAGCTGTTTGAATGTGGCTTGAAAATTTGCCAGGTGTATCCATGCAAGCCTCCATTTAGTGGCTAAAAAAAACAATGAGTCATTTGGTTTGAAGACTACCAGGAGAGAAAAATATTATGTGAAGAAGGACGGCAGGACACAACCTCCTGTTGAAGCCCCATATGTGCCTCAATCAGTAAAAAAAAATATCAAACTTATGCCAGATAAGACAATTGACATTTTTGAAGGCATGACAATTGCTGAGCTTTCCAAGCGCACCGGGAAAAAAATACATTATCTTCAGGATATCCTGATAAATGTTGGGGAGAAGGCTTGCTCAGAGTTTGACTCCCTTAGCATTGATGTTGCTGAACTGGTTGCTATGGTACGTGTTTTACCTGTTACTGAATTAATCTGTGGAACCTGCTTCACACTAGGTGTTTTGAAACAAAATTGAGCTATGTTCATTCTAGAAACATTAGGTTCAATATGATGGTGTATGTTGTTGCAACCTTGCCATCTTTTGATCATACTGCTTTTGCAGATCTTTTCAGTTGTATCTGTTATATGCACTGAAGAAAGTAATGGTGTGATTATTTTTCATTTCCAGGAAGTTGGTGTTCACGTGAGGAGACTACACTCAAATGAAGGTTCAGAAATCTTGCCAAGGCCCCCTGTTGTGACAGTAATGGGTCATGTTGATCATGGTAAAACTTCCCTTTTGGATGCATTACGCCAAACATCCCTGGCAGCCAAAGAAGCTGGTGGTATAACTCAACATGTCGGTGCCTTTGTTGTGAGCATGCAGTCAGGGGCTTTCATAACATTTCTCGATACACCAGGCCATGCTGCTTTCAGTGCTATGCGAGCTAGAGGTGCTGCAGTCACTGATATAGTTGTCTTGGTGGTAGCTGCTGATGACGGAGTGATGCCACAAACACTAGAAGCCATGTCACATGCTAAAGCTGCCAAAGTTCCAATTGTAGTTGCTATAAATAAATGTGACAAGCCTGGTGCTAACCCAGAAAGAGTTAAAGTACAGCTTGCCTCGGAGGGTTTGGCTTTAGAAGAGATGGGTGGGGATATTCAGGTGATTGAAGTATCTGCAACAACAAAAACTGGGCTGGACACTTTAGAGGAGGCTTTGCTTCTCCAGGCTGAGATGATGGAACTGAAAGCACGTGTGGATGGACCCGCTCAAGCCTATGTGGTGGAAGCAAGGCTTGATAAAGGCCGTGGTCCACTGGCCACTGCTATAATCAAGGCAGGAACATTAGTTTGTGGTCATTATGTAGTGGTGGGTGTAGAATGGGGTCGTATAAGAGCTATCAGGGATATGCTAGGGAAGTTAACAGAGAAAGCAAACCCTGCTATGCCCGTCGAGATTGAGGGACTGAAAGGTCTGCCAATGGCTGGTGATGATATTGTTGTTGTAGAGTCTGAGGAGAGAGCAAAGATGCTTAGTGCTGGAAGGAAGAAACAGCTAGAGAGAGACCGGCTTCTGAAGATTGAACAGGAGAGGTTGAAAATTGCTTTGCCCTCTGAAGAGGAACCCGAAACAGTTGAAAAAGTTGAATTGCCTATCATAGTAAAAGCAGATGTCCAGGGAACTGTTCAAGCTGTTACAGATTCGTTGAGAAGTTTGACTAGCCCTCAGGTGAGATGATGTGTCTGATATCATTTGGTGTCCTTTTGCTCCCCTATTCAGTCGTTTCCAATTCAGCATTCCTCTAGTCCTTGTTCCTTTATTCTATGTACTTGAGAACCCTAAACCCCCTTCCCAAATAATCCTGGATAAATTTATTATGAAAATGAATGGTGCCTACTGACTCTTTTTATATGTACTTTTTTTAGATGACTCTTTTTCATAACTGCAATATTTCCTCGCCTGTCTTGAAGTCTGATTCCTATTAATATTGTTTATATTTGAACCCTCAAGAATACTGAAGGTGAAAAATTAATAGTAAAAAGAGTTATACATTCTCAAGCGGGCCTTCTTATTTCATACTTCGTATATGCCTTCTTCTGCATGTATTCTGAAAACCTTTCTTGTCAGGTCTTTGTGAATGTGGTTCATGTTGGAGTCGGCCCAATATCACAATCTGATCTGGACTTAGCTAAAGCTTGTGGAGCTTGTATTATTGGGTTCAATATTCGTAGTCCACCTAATTCCATCAATCAAGAAGCCGAAAGAGCCAAGATAAAGGTACACAGTTCTGTTGTGTTTATAACTAGATCTTGAGGTGCTGTAATTTGCAAATATACTTTTTCTGCTGTACTGACTGGTTTCGTTATTATTTGTTTTGAATTCCTTTTCTACTTCAGATAGTACTGCATCGCGTGATCTACCACCTCCTGAACGACATTGGTGCTTTGATAGTAGAGAAAGCCCCAGGAACACCTGAGATACAGGTGGCTGGGGAAGCACAAGTGCTTGATATTTTTGAGATCACTGGTAGAAGCAAGGCCAAAGGGGCTGATGTTAAGATCGCGGGCTGTAAGGTGGTAACAGGTCACATAGCTAAGTCTTCGACTATGAGGCTTTTAAGAAGTGGAGAAGTTGTTTTTGAGGGATCTTGTGCATCCCTCAAGCACGAAAAGCAAGATGTGGACATGGTTATCAAGGGAAAAGAATGTGGTGTTGTGATTCAAGATTGTTTTGATTTTCAGATTGGCGATGTTGTCCAATGCTTGGAGGAAATCAGACGGAAGCCCAAGTTCATATCATCAGATAATGGGGTTGTTCGAATTGAGTGCTGATTATAAGATAGCTAAATGGAGAACAAAGACACAAACAGAAGCCCGATTTTCTATACCTAGAATAAATTAGATTGTTACCTGGGGAATTTTTTGCCCACTTATAGTTTCTGTTTGTTTATTGGGCATTCATACATCAAAGTTTGATGTAATAGGGGTGATTAGGAATTTTGACATCAATAGTTTGGAAAATGTTATTTAAATCAACTGTATATAGGAGAACACCCTATGTCTTGTAAGTTGTAGCTCTTCCAATATTGGATTTTTGGCCACGAATTAATTAGTTTATGTTATCAAGCGCATCAGTGCCTGATTGTTATCAGAGTTTGGAGGAAGACTGAATACAGATTTGTTGTAGTCAGATAATCGACGATTTGTTATTATGTCGTGTTCAAGTCTTAAGTGCCTTTAAAATTAACAACTGTTAGCATCAATACTTGAACCTATGACCTATTTTCATTATAATTGAATATTTAATTGTGTTCATAAAACTAAAATCTAGTAAATGATTTAAACATGTAATCGTGTAATTTTAAAACAATCTATGATGACAAAGCTCAATATTTTTTTAAAAAAATTTCATTTGTTATACCACTAGCTTATCAAAATATGTAACCAAGACTGTATTGCAATTTTTAAGTTGATGTTTTTTCTTGCTACAAAACATGTTGATTTTATAAGAATTCTTTTTGTAACTAAAGAGCTACGAGTATAAATTTAGTGTTTGATAAATTAAGTAAATCAATAAAATAGGTAGGTTCCTAAAAATATTGGATAATAAGTTTTGATGCTCAATAATATTTGCAAAAATAAATACTAGTACTTTTTTTTTTTTTTCTGTTTTGAAAAACATCGGTTTCAAATAAATATAACTAAGCTATATCTATACTTCACTTAATTTTATTTTAAATGATTCGGGGCATTGCCCATGCCAAAAACAAATTTTTGCATAGTCATCTAAATATTATAGTGTTTAGTTTAATGTTTGAAAGATTTATATTAGTTTTCTATTGATGTAAAAAATCATCTACTAGTCAAAAATATAAGTAAAACAGTTTGATTTAAACAAATTATTTTAGTTTTATATTGATGCAATTCATTTTTCAAAAACGTTTAATGGTCTAAAATTGATTGGAGACTTATGGGAAAAGTGCTAATGCTGAGAATAAGGTATGGTATTGGTAGCAAAGAGTCAAGTTTATTGAGAGTTTCACTTCAGAATTTTACACAGCAACTCAAATGAGGATAGCAGTGAAATAGAATCAGTCCAGACTCGAGATGTTTTTAGCTTTCAGAATTGAATGAACACATGTACCAACAAAAAATGGCTCTAATTATACAAACCTGCAACATATGAGTAATGTTTTTTATCTTATTCACAGGCATACTGACTAAAATGACAGTAATTAGTACATCAAAAACTCAAGAGCATGACTATCTTTTTTCGAAAAGAGGAAAGATCACAGAGAAGACTAATTCTAGTATTCTACATAGCTATCTCAGCAGCTTGAAACTCACTTTTTCTTCGTAGCACCCTTCTTTTTAGTCTTCTTAAAACTTCTTCCACTCTCCTGTCAAGAACAAAATCAAGCATTGGTCATCTTCCCTAAAGTGCAACTAGAAATAAATGACAATATTGTGGTGTTTCATTCACTCTCACTGAATTCTAGCAGGAAGTAAATAAGGGAGAAGTTTCATGGTACTAAGGTATATAATCGCAGAGCGGAAAATGTTTAGTAACATGAGCAGAGTGACATATCAGAACAATTTGGTCATAGGTACCTTTCTGTATTGTCTGTAGGCAATTTGACCTGTCAGTTCTTGTCCATTTTTATTGATATACACCTGAAAAAGTGTAATGCAGCAGAATAAAGAGGTGATCACAATGATATTAATCATAATCAGAATATTTGGAGCTAATGCTACAAATCCATATTAACCAAATTGCCATTAATATACACAAGTATACAACACACAGAAGCTAGTAACACAGATGAAATAATGAAGAAAAAAAATACATCACCACCATTAGGAAATAGGAGGGTCTTTTAGTACTAACAAATAACTGCTGTTGGTAATTCTATTCCTGAATTGTCAATATTATGAACCTGAAGTAGCACAAAAGTTGGAACTTGAAAGTGATCAAGTACACTAGGATGGTCCACATGAACAAGATGGAGTGTTAAGCAGGTTTTCTTTCAGCTACACATAATAGCTTAGCTATATTCAAAAAAATCAGTGTAAGAAATCTATTTTTTCTCCCCTATCAAAATATATCTACGTCCAGTTAACACATATTAATTCATACAGTAAGAAAGCTTATCAACAAGTTAATAGCAGTCAAACTGAAATCAGCAAGAAAATGCTAATTGCTTGATCAAACAGTCAGCTGTGATTAAGCAAGCACACTTCTGGTCCATCACATCCTTACCTTCCTTCCATTTTCTGCTACAAGCCACCGACCAGCAGATTGGCCATCAGCATGAACCCTTCTCCTGCCAGCATCTTTTGGAGTGCTAGCTGTCTGTTTAGGGTTAATCCAGTCTCCAGAACCAAGTGATGTTCCTTCTATACCCGAATTCTTAGATTTCTTTCTTCCCCTTTTGGAGCTTTTCTCTAAAGTGACTTGTCTGCTAGTTTGCCGTTTACCACCATCCTGACCAAATTGACTCCTGAATCCAAACAGCAAAGAATCATTAGACTCCAGATCATAAAAAATCTTTAGCGTTTTGAAGCACACAAATTAACAAAGAAAAGCACAGTACATGTAATCTATAGATGACACATTATGCGATTTCGACCCTGCATCAGTAGCAGTCAATGGGATAAAGTAAGGTAAACGACTACGGACTAATCTCTGGATCCTCAAATCATTATGGTAAAAGTAATGGTGAGATGGAGGAACAGCAGATCCTGAATTTTGGTTTTGGAATATATTATTGGCGTTGTTCATGCTTATTTCCTGTTCACTTGAGCACAGCTTGTGAGAACCTGGGGCTGGTTTTGTTGATTTTACAGATTGAAAATATTCAGTAAAGAATTCATCAAAAGCCGGAGTCCGTACACTAGACTTATCACCAGTACAAAAATCTTTCCACAAATCCTGCTGCTGTGAAATGTGAGGCTGCAAATCTACATTTTTGCCAAGAGATATTCTGACTTCCATGGCTGGACTCTTCTGTTTATTGTTTTTGGAAAAATCAGCCCCACTAGATTCCCTGTCAATGTGTTCACCATCTGATTGATCATCAGAGTCTGATTCAGAATCAAGTAGCTTGAATCTTTCTTGAATATTGTATTCTTCTGATTTATTGTTTTTTGAAAAGTTGACTGTTCTAGCGTCTCTGTCATTGTGAGCATCTGATGGATTATCAGAATCTGATTCGGAATCAAGTAGCTTGAATCCTGCTTGAATATTGTATTCATTTTGTTTATTGCTATTTGGAAGGCCAACACCGCTAGCTTTCCTCTCAGTGCGTACATCTGATGGATTATCAGGATCTGATTCAGAATCAATTAGCTGAAACCTTCTTAGGGGGCTTGCAGTTAAGTCTGAAAACAAATTTTTTCCCTTGCTTGAACCTAAACTTGTAGAAGGACAACTCGAATCCTGTTTCCCTTTTCTATTATGTTTAGCATTTTCCTGTTGTCTCATCAAGATCCCACATCCAGATAAGGGTAACTTTGAACTGCTACATGAAGAATGGTGTTGAGGTGCCACAAAATCATCTGATCATCAGAGCAAAATAAATTGATGAGACATACACAATACATATTAAGAGTTCTCAAAGTATACACCATGATATATCTGAACAAAACCACCACAAATGCATAGGACTGTTGCAAGAGAATTCTTTCAATCAAAAGTACAATATTCTACATGAGTAACACAATCAACTTATTCTAACAGTATGTTTGGACAGGAAGATGGGGGAACGGAGGGATGTAGAAATGAGAGATTTAATTTTTCCTCGTTTTGATATGACATAGGGGAAAGGAATTGAAGGGATCCATCTTCCTTCCTATTTATTAAAACAAAGCAACTTCAATATGGGAAAGTTTTTGAAGAAAATCGAGTCTCACTCTTTCCACTTCCTTTTCTCACTCCTCATTTTCTCTCCTATCTGCTTCCCTTCTCAAATGCTAACCAAACACATTGTAAGTGTTAGTGTGTTACCATTACTCTTCCCAAGTGGTTTGAAAAATAAACCCATCTAAAAGCTAGTAAGCCACACCAACAATGACATATTATGAAGCATCCATTTTCTAGTAATTTTCAATCATAGATATATAAAGCAACTTCTTACACTGCCAATTTGTTAGATACAGCAATACAAGGTCGCGAATTAAATAAGCATTGTTTCTTTCACCTCCTTTCAAGAGTTACATCCACTACTCTAGGTGAGTAGGCGGTAAGTGGTAGTAAAAATGAAATGAAGAAATATGTGTGCCTGTAACAAAGGTGCCTGTAAGATAAACCTTGTAAACTTACACAAACTTAACAGCAATCCCCCAATTTTAGACCTTTATCCTCATACTAGAGAAACTATACACTCACTTATAACTTTATAGTGTCTTTACGACTTTACAAAATCAAGTATTCAAGTGAAACTACAAACTGCCTATCAATCAGGATCAGGAGGTAATCAATCAAACTGAAATTATCAAACCCAAATGATATGATTCTAGAAGAAACTACACTTTAATCAAATAAATCAAGGCATTCGAGCTGGCTTTGACACGAAATTCAGACTTTCTTTTCAATGCCTAGCACAATGCCAGTGCCACAATGTACAAGATATGCACTAATGCCAAACAATTTGGTGAGTCAAACTTACATTCAGCTACAATTGCATAACAAATATCACCTTACCCCAATAATTCTCATAACTTTTGAAGCAAAATTCAGCCAAATACAACCCTAATTTCCAGTTCCACAAATTCATCAAACTAATAAATTGGGTCTAATTACTTAATTCACTAATAAAACCTAAATTCAAACCCAGCTAATCCCCACGAAAATAAACAATCAAACATCCAAATTAAAACAACCCAGAAATCATTTCACTAATAAAAATCAAACTCAGCAACACAAAACTTAAAGTGTAGCCAAAAAACTTACTTGTTTGAGCAATTTCCTCATCAGAAAAGTCCTCAATATCATCATCATCAATAGAGTCCGAAATGGGGGTAGAAATGGGTTTGTAAGAGGAGGGCACACCACGACGGAGACGCCGGAATCGATGCCGGGGAGTATTTTCCGGCGATTCGGGTTCGGAATCGGAAACTCGCAACTCAAATTCGACGTCTTCCAATTCGTTAACCTTTTGTTTACCTTTTTCTTGGGGATCGATTGCGCCGGAATTTTTGTGGGTCGGAGGTTTTCCCGGCGGAGGGTTGCGAGAGGGTTCGAAGTCGAAGTCTAAGTCAAGGCCTAAGGAGAATGATGGAGGTTCAATGTCCGCCATTAGAGAGAAAGAGAGAGAAAGTGATTCAGTGAGTTTTTGGGGGGAAAGAGAATTGAGTAAAGTTTTTGAGATGGTGATGAAATTTTTTGAGTTTTGCGCCAAAGTTGAATTTTTCAGTGGGATTAATTTGCTAATCTTAATAGTGGCCTACCATTTATGGTTCAATTAGAGGTGATAAAAAAAAAGTCATGTCCGAATTTGTGAATTGTAAGTAGTCCGGCCTGTTTGTTCCGAAATACTCGTATTTTGTATTTAATTATTTGGGTGTACCGTACATCTAAAGATATAATTGTCATTTTACGCGTCATTGGTTACACGCGCCTGCCTCCTTCCTTACATAAAATTCCGCGGCTTATTTTCTCCTAAATGTATAATATTGGCATGTAAGTATGCATATGAGGTCGTGTGCTTTTTTTTTTTTTTTTCTTTTTTCTCATTTTGTGTTTTTTTGCTCATACGAAGTATATATCTGAACATGTTAAGTTACCTTTTGTGTTTTAGCTAGCTCTTTAGTCTTGCTCTCTGTAGGCTGACCTTTAATCTGCATGTACTGCGGCAATTGGATTATCATCAGTAATTTAGTATAATGTTGTCTAAAAAGCCTCGTGAAACAGATATCTCAATCAGTTTCTTACAAACTGCAAGTGTCTGAATTTTTTCACTCTGGTTGGGAGAATTAGGATATGACCCTTGGGCCTTGGCCATGGCATTCACCATAAATTCCAAACCATAGTAAATTTCATTAAACCACCAAGGAGATGAATATATTATAAACTATCTTTGACTTTGTTAGAATCACTTTATGCTTTTTTTTGTGTTATTAATTGCTCATTTTTGTCAGTTTTTGTGTATTTCTGTTTTATGTTTGATCATTTTACATTTGTTTGTTCACTTTATGCTTATTTCTATTTGCTTATTTGCATTGCAGTAAAGCTCCTGATATTAATGATTTTGCGCAACAAGTTCAGCCAGATGGTCAAATTATTAAAGTAGAATACAAGATGAAGAGGTTTAAAACATTAGCTATCAGGGATAAAGGGCAAAAGATTTTGAAAAAAAAAAGTAGAGAAACAGAAGGCTATTGGTAAAGGTAAACAGAAGTAAAGCTAAATAGACAGTGAAATCTGAAAAGCTTGATTCTGAAAATTTTTCAACGAACATCAAAGTTGAAAGTTTTTTTGGTTATAATTCTTTGAAAAATAGAATGTCTCTTTATTTTATTTTAAGTTTTGTAGGGAATTGTTCAGTCGCTCAGAAGAAATCTATTAGGGCAATTGGTTTCGGGTCGTTAGAGGATTTAAAGGTGACCAAATTGCCTCTTCACTTGGGTTTGTGGCTGGTACAAACATTTTGACGCCAAAACTTGTAGTTTATGCATACCATACTGCGAGCCATTGCGTATTACTAAGCAAGATGTGCACGAAGTGTTTGGTTTTCCTATTGGAGGTGAAGATATAAATGACGCAACAACATATCCAATTGTGGTTAGGCGATGGAAAAAACAGTTCATGAGGAACTTAGTTTTGTTTCACTAGGTGAACTTACCTCATATATGAAAAAACACAAGTCTAGCGGTCCTATGTTCATGAGAAACTTTGTTATTCTATGCGTTTCCACGTTAATCTAAGGTTAATGAACTAAAATTAGTTAATTTTAGTTTTGAGTTAATTTTAGTTAATTGGGGTTGCAATCAATTCTGCCATTATTGCTATGAATTTTCTGTAAATTTCGACACTCAAATTCATGAAATTGAGTTTCAAAACATACGAAAAACGGAGAAAAAAGGAGCTTCAGGTATCACACGTAAGGCATGCTTTTTTTTATTGCAAAATTACCAAAATCCCCCTATGTGTACCTAGAGAAAGCTACACCCGGGTGTACGTAATAGGCGTTGATACATTAAATATAAATTGATATTTAACAACTTTCTAGATATTAGGGTTTATTATTCTCCAAGCAAACCCTATCAATTGTACAATATATCTATACCTCCATTATATGAAAGACAAATAGAATACACATTTTATTCTCTCTAGCTCAATCTCTAACGTTGCACCATTATTTACAACATGTTATCAGCACCATTCTCTAACCAATCCGGAAACATCTCGAAAAATCATCTCTTGCTGATCGAGAAAACCAAGAATTTCATCATCGGGATTAGATTTCAATTATCATTGAGGTTAGTATATATTAAATAAAATTCAATTAATAAGTATGATAATTCATCGCAAAACATCACAATCGTCTTCGTACCATGTGGCTGAATTATATATATTTTAGATATGAGTATTTTTTCCATTAATGGAGAGTAAAAAAATATAGGGGTATAGGGTCTGTTCGGCAAAGGTAGCTGTAGCTGCTGACTGTTAGCTTTTGAGCAGTTGTTAGCTGTAGAGGTAGTTGTGAGTTGTCAATGGGTAGTTGTGAGCTGTCAGCTGTCAAGGTAGCTGTTGATAATATAGCAGTGTAACCATTTAATACTTTGTTTGTTGATGGGCCTATTTGACGTCGACAAACCATGACGGATTTCATGATTATTATCTGATCTTGTACAAGTACATATGATTGATTAAATAACTCTTTTTTAACATATAATTTCATGATTATTATGCTTGAATATTTCCACTATATTATATTAATGCTTAATTGATAATTATCATTCTTACTACGTAGAATTTTTTTTTTTACTTTAATAATAAATCATTACATAAGCTTTATTAAATGCTAATTGATATTTTGTTCAAGGGTTTAATGTCTCAGTATTTTTTGTTTTCTTTGAAAGCGTAAGTTGGGTGTTTATTTATTATTTCCACTATATTTTTTGTCTCAGTATTTTTTACTTTAATAATAAATCATTACATAAGCTTTACGTAAGTTGGGTGTTTATTTGTTTTCTTTGTTTTCTCAGTATTAAAATTATAGATAGAATATTATTTATTATTATTCATAATAATAATAATAGTTGATATAATAATAATAATTAATTTTGCACAAATTTTGTTGCAAATTGGTGGGTGTTTAAATGTAAATGGGTCATTCTTTTTGGGACAAAGTTTTGGCCAAATGGGTTTTGGGCCGGAGGGAGTATTATTCATAATAATAATAATAGTTAATATAATAATAATAATTAAATAAAAAGGCTTCTTTTTTCTCTCTCTATATTTTTTTGTCTTAAAAATTAGGGTTCCTAGATGAACTTGAGTGACATTTGTAAGGAAAATCTGCATAATGGGGGGAAAAAGGCATCTGTGAAGAATGCTGGGAGTAAGAAAATCTCCGGAAAGTGCGCAACTTGTGGGGATGAATTTCAGGATGATAATCTCTTTATTCCGCATGTGAATCGTTGTATCAAAATTCACCCTGATGCCAAAGACAAGGTATAAGCTTTTTTTATACTATACTACTACGTTTTTGATTTTTAGCTATTTTGATCATGAATCCATTCATCATATCATCTTTCAAACAAAAAATTTTCCCTTTAGATATTTTGATTTTAGCAGAAAGGTGAAAGAATATAGTGTTATAATCAACATATTTCCTCCAATCCATCAATGCTTTTTGAGCCCAAGAGATTCATTCATTATTGTAAGTCACTGTCAAGTCACTGATTCAACGATCTTTTTGCTTCTAATGTATAAGCTGTCCTGCTGTTGGGGTTATTTTTAATCTTATTCGGCATACGGCAGGAACCTAGACTAATAGCAGCATCTTGGTGAGTAAAATGCATTTTAGGGACTCACCTTTTATACTTTTCATTGTTTGGGGACTCACCTTTCACTTTTCATCGTTTGGGGATTGCCGGTCACCGAAATTCAATTCAATCCGATCACTTAATAAAAAATTCTCCTAAATTTGTTAATTACAACTGTCAAAAGATAAATTTTAGACTTTGACTCTACAAAAAAAATACATTGTAGAAGAAAACTCCAAAATGTTAAGAGTATGTAGAGCCCAAAATGCGAAAATTGTAACTAGATAATCTCAAAATGTTAAACATTTCTGCAAAAAAAATTTAAAATGTGTATATGAGTAATGAGAATTATTTTTAATAGCAATAATATTATGATTAAAAAAAAAAAAACCCAATAGCATATACGAAAGTATTGTACAGAGCCAATGGGTTTACCTCAAGTTTGATTTATTATGTAACTTCTCACATCATTGATTTAGATTATGGTTGTAAGGTCCACTTTTTTTGTTAGCCATATCCTTGCATAAGAGAACAAATTATCAATTAGCATATAGTCTATTTATTTTACTTGAACTTCATACTGAATTGACATGAGTGGAGCAAAAAATAAAAAATAAAAAAATAATACATGTAGTGCTTGAGTTGTTATGTAATTTCTGCCATTCAGAGAAATGAAACTACGGTTTGATGATGAAATGCTACCTTGAGTCGATTGTGATTGCTGGGTATTGTTATGTATTACTGTAGTTGACTGCAAAGTTTGCTCTCCACCAAAATCAGTATAGTAAGCAGCTTGCCTCCTTGGTTCATTGATCTGGGAAGGAAGACATTAATACAAGAACCATCAACATATTGTACATATGCTTATAATTGAGTGGATTTTTGAAGAAAACAAGCATATGAACTTACTGAGATTAACACACACACACACACACACACACACACACAAAAGAACACACTGAGGATCCAGTAGCAGTTTGTAGGGGTGTTTGTTTCTTTCCTTTCTGTTGAAGTTGCGTGAGTGGTTGAGTTGAACTTGGTAATTCGTCTCTGAAGCTACAACTTCTTTTGTTATGCCCTTGCTCTCCACATACACTACATTTCATAATCATGCCAGTCTTCCTCATTTTACCATTGCTAGTTGCTTCTCCAACCTGTTTTTTCCTTGCCTTTTGCGGTCTACCTCTAACCTTTTTTAATGGAGGGGCTGAAATTGATTCAGCTTGTGAAATTGGCCATTCATTAGGTCCATTCAAAGGCTCCATAGGAAACTCATAAGCCTTCAAATATTCAGATTTGGTAAAAGAGCTTGCAACATACTGTTCAAGATGTTCCACGGACTTCCAAATGGCAGCAATTGCATGTTTACATGGTATCCCACTTAGTTGCCATGTATTGCAACGACAAGTTCTATCTCTTAGATCAACGACATATTTCGTTTGAGTTATCCCATCTCTCACACCAAACTTAAACCTTCCATCCCAAAATGCAGACCACCCCCTTGACTTTAACTTATTATCTTCCAATTTTTGTTGAATTCTTGGACAAATAAAACACTCTTTCTTTTCAATAAAATCTCTTTTCTTAAATAATCTCTCCATTAAACTCTCACTTATGTCCTCCAACATAGTAATTATTGGTTTATGCCTAGACTTAAGTATATATGCATTGAAAACCTCACTCATATTATTGTCGATGCTATCACAACAAGATTGTGGTGTGTAAAATGCTTTACACCATTTCTTGTAGTTTCTATTCAATAAATCATTTGCAGCAGCCTCTGAAACTTTTCGAAATGCTTCAATGTTTGCTTGGAAGACATTTTCAGTTGTGCTTTTGGCAATTCTCCAGAACCATTTCCTAAGTTCCTGCCCCCCACCAAACACATCCCTAAAATTACAATAAACGTGTCTAGCACAACACCTAACTTCTGCTTGATTCCATATCTCACTAACAGCTTGAATCAAACCTTTTTGTTGATCTAACCTTTTTGTTAATCTGACATTATTGTATACCCTGCGCCACTAGTTGTACCTAAGTCTTGAGATAATAATTCCAAAAACCAACCCCAACTATCACCACTTTCGACCTCCACAACAGCCCATGCAATTGGAAACATTTGGTTGTTTCCATCCCTCCCCACAGCCACTAAAAGCTGTCCACCAAATGGACCTTTCAAAAAACAACCATCTAGTGAAATAAATGGTCTACATCCATTAAGAAATCCCTTTCTCAGTGCTTCAAAACAAAAGTACACGCGTTGAAATTCTTGGTTTTTCAATTTCAAAATAACCGTGTTGTTAGAGTTTGCTCGTAAAATCTCTAGTGCATATCTATGTAATAACCCATATTGCTCTCTATACTCACCAAGAATTAAAGCATGACCCTTTTTTCTAGCTCTTACTGCTAGCCACAATGAAATTTTTATTCCCCAATCACACCATACGTGCTCTACAATTTCTCGCAATCTCATGTAAGGGTTAATCTTAAACTTACTTGCATAAGTTGAAGCAACCCATGAAGAGGAAATCAATGTCACCTTGTTCTTTCTACCGCAAATGTGCTCATCTTGATGTGTCTTTATCTGAAATGTTCTTTTACCAGCAGCCCAAGACGCCCAAAGTCTCCATTTGCAGCCCTGTGATTTACATTCAGCCCCAATCTTATCTTTTTTATTTGTACTGAAATGCACATCTCTCCCATGGAAAATACAGTAGTCTGTAATTGCTTTTTTCAGATGTTGAGCATTATCAAATTCTTGTCCGACGTAAAACTTAGTATCCTAAGGTGTTGTCCCTTTTTTGTACTTCTTGAAAGTAGAAGATTTTTTTATTTTAGTCGGAACAGGTATTATATACCCACAATCTTCCTCATCAGATGCATCATCAGGACTATCCAAGTCAGTAGAATTCTCATATTCACTATCTATTTCTTCAGGCTGCTTTCGGTTGTTCTCTGCCACTCTTTTAAGTTGTCTAAGTTCTTCTTCATAATCCTTATCAATCTTCTTAGCTTCTCCTATTTTTTCTATAGCAGCAACAACCTCTTCATCATCCATATCACTTCCATTCTCATCATAATCAATTGCATCATCTATTGTAGGCCTGACAGGACTCTTAAAAGCATCCTCATAATCAATTGAAAATAGAAAGTCCAAGTTTTCCCCTATATTGAACATTATAATTATTGATCTATATGTGTACTGGGTTAAATACTATTAATCTAACACTTAATTGAATTTGCACAGGAGGTCGTCTCTGGTCGTCCTTCGGGGTTCCAGTTCAGGTTCCCGACCCACTGGTCGTGGCGGTTGTGGTCGCAGGTACCGTCAGGTATGCTCTTTAATTCAATTTGTTGTCTTAATTTTGCTTCTATTAATTAATTTGTAGTTTAGAAATTTGGATTGAATTCTTTAGTAAAAACTATCATTGAGAATTTCCCTTTAAATTTTAACGATGAGTTTTATCTTTTTATACAAGTGTGTTTTGTGTATTTGAAAGTAAAATATGATTTAAACATAATTTTAATGTGTTATTGATTAATTTTGCAGTGATGGCATGGCAGCTAAAATTGGACAGTGATAGCAGCTGGAGAACTTACTCTAACGGGACTTTTTCAACAAAACAATGAATAATTGTAATAAGTTTTGGAGATTTTATGGTTTGTAGCAAGTTTGTTGCAACTTTTGCCAAAAACATCCGCTACACATTTACTGCAACTTCCCAAATTTTCCATTTTTAGTAAGTTTTTTTAAGAAAATTACACATATACCCTTACTTACAATTTAATAACCACAATTAGATCTTAAACACTACACTTAATTAATTACCAATCTGACCAGTAATTTATCTAACCATTACCACCAAATTAAATTCACTACCCCAATTCCCAACTAACTCATAAAATTCATCCAGCTTTCAAATGATTTTTCCAGAAATTAAACCCCAATTCATCTTGTTCTTCATCTTCCTTGTTTTCTCTCTCTTCAAACAACTAGATCTCCATTCTTGCATCCCTCAGTCTCTCTTTCTCTCTCCTACTTCTCACTCGGTTCATCCTCTCCCTCTCTCAATCTTTTTCTCTCTCCTTGTTTCTTTGTTTCTCAGACTCACAAAATTTCCAGATCTAGCCAACAAATTAGTCCGTTGCAATTAATTTCCAGATCAAATTCATTCCTTACGATAAAAAATTCAGTTTGCGATGTAAGGTGGTAGTTTAAACCGCCATTTACGAACGATCTTAGGGTGAGATGGGTCAGTGGATCTTTCGATGAGGTGGTCGTTGGGTAATTAGTTTTAGAGGGTGTGGTTAGTGGGTTGGGTTCGATTTGTGTGGGGTTTTACGGAGTGCTTGTGTGGTGGTTGTGGGGGTAGCTTTAGGTTTTGGGTTATGGGTGTATGGTGGGTACGAGCTTAGCGTGGTGGTTGGGGGGTGCTTGTAAGGCTAGTGTTACTGTGTTATTGTCTTTGTACTAGGGTGGTGCTGCGAAGGTGGTGGCTTGTGTGGCGGGTGTTATGAAGGGTGGTTGTGGCCTGTGTGGTTGACAAGAGGATAAGGCCCGTGATTGTTAATTTATTCCCACTTTCTCTCTCGTTCCTTCCTTAATCACATGCCTCTCCTTTCTTAATCTCCATTTCTCATTTTTTGCCTAGGAGTCCATGTCAACTCCAAAGTTGCAAAAAACTTGAAACGGGGATAGTATTTCGTTAGTAAAAGCTTGTTTAAAGATTAATGGTTTTATATTATCAACAAACATGGAAACCATATTTTCCTAAAATACTAGAGAATAATATATTAATATCAGAATATATATTCAATTAACAATCAATTTAGGGTAACAAACATGCAATTTTTGAATTTCCGCAAAATTAAAAAAGGAATCTTTGCCTTTGTAGATGATATCTAGTACTATAAAGAAAAGGAGAACACAAAAAATAGACTATCAATACAGATCAAAATTATTGTCGTTAAAGTGTGTGACTCATCATGGAGGAGAGAAAAACAATCAATCAAGAACTGATATGCCAAGACACTCTAGCTGATATGTCAAGAATCACATTTGAGAGAACATTTTGGCCATAGAATTCCCTTGAAAGAAAGTACAAGGGTGGAGGATGTGTGTAGATTACACGGCTTTGAACAAGGCACTATCAATAATAAGTTCCTTATCCTTTTTAAGAAACTTCCCCATTTTTCTCAAATTTTCAACCCAAAGAAAGCCACATGTCAAAGTTATCCAAACCAAGCTTCTTTATCTACTAGAAAATTTATCTTTATCTTCATCTTCATTTCCCCTCTTCAATTCAACCTTTAATCAAAATTAATTGTCCATTTTGCCATCAATATTAGTCCCTCAATCTTCCCCCTTCATTAGTAGCCTCATAGCCCTCATTTCGAATTAAATACTCCATAAATTAATTCTTTAATCATCTTTTTGATTACACACTTAAACCTATAATTATTTATTGGTATTTCCTCACTCATCTCTTAAAGCAATTCTAACTCTATTTAACAAAGTGCCGCCATCAATTTCATATGTATATTCACATTTAGTGAGTAATTGTCATATTGTGATTTTTTTTTAAAGATTATATTTAAATATAGCTATAATCATAATTTATGGTCTTGTATGTCAATCCCAAATAGTTTGCGAGAAACACTTGTACAAGTAGACAAACATAGGTGTGTTATTGTATTGTGCTCATAGAAGATTGATTGGGTTGCAATTGAAGTTTTAGAACCTATTTTTGGATGGATTGTTACTTGAAACTTCCAATTTTTAATTTGTGTTGTACTAAATTGGAGAAATTTATGCATCCTGACGAGAGAGAGGTTGATGTGAAGGTGCTTAGCTTGCTAGAGATATAGCTTTATAGATTAAAGTGTGTTATACATCATGCGGCGAAGAAAAACAATCAATCAAAACCAAAAATATAATAAAGAGAAAAGTACTAGAAATTACCATCATTCATTAGGGGTGACAAACACACGAATTTCATTTTATGCAGAATTAAATGTCAAACAATTCTTACCAAACACTCCAAATTATAATCAACAAACATCAAAGGAAAGTGACAAGGTAATTAGTATAACATGTGGCTAAAGAGCTTCATAAAGCATCTATTACATACCTTAAGCTTGAAAGTTTTGCAAATTTTCCTTTTTTCCTCGACATTCGGATTCATCTTCCCCGTATTAGTCATCCTCTTCCTGATTATCCCTCTTAAGAACCACCTTCATGCCATCTTCTCATATTCATATTAGTGATCCTACTTAAAAACAATAAATCAAGGATGAAACACACAATAAAATTCAGGGATTAGAAAATAGCAGGGCACCTCAATGTCCTCAACACGCCATAGATTCCATTCGTTTTCTTTTGAATCTCCTCCTATACCATGACAAACAGATAAATATAATTAAATAAACGCACTCCAATTTGACATGAACAAGAAAGCTGAGGTATAATTAATTTATAAAAAACAAATCAACTTGAACTATCCATGCCATACTTTCCGTCCATTTTCTTCTGGACAAACAACTTTAGAATAATACAAATAACATAAATTCAAGGAATAGATCAAATTAAATTAAAAAGAACAGATCTAATCAAGGGGATAAATAAATTCGATTTGAAATCAAATTAAAAAAAACTCAGATTCAACCCCATCCAATTAACAAGAACAACAAAGTAAAGGTACATAAATTAAATCAAAATTAAATCCAAAAACAGAGAAAATTGAGATCGATGAATACTCGAGATCAGAGGACAGAGGCCGGCGGACGGTAACCGGCAGATGGCGGCCGGTGATAAAGAGAGAGTCTTTACCAACCAACCAAGTCTACCAAATTAACAACAACCAAGAAAAGTGGAGAATTTTGGGGTTTTATTTTTTATTTTACTTTTTTGTTTCAGTTTTAATAGTTTTACTTTTAGTTCAGACTTTCTGAACTGTACTTTGTCTGCCAAATTAGATTTTTTAATTTTTAATTTAAACCTAAGCCATACCACCTTAATGGGCGATTTAATCCACCCACCACTAGGGCTCTTCATGGCCCGCCCTGACCCATAAAAAGTTTTGGAGGTTTAATATGTAAATGGGCGGGTTTTCAAAGGGTCACCACCCAAATACCTAACTCACATCTGAAATTACCCTTTCTGTCCACCAAAAGGGAGTACTTTGTGTGCTTAGTGCCATTTGAAATTATACTGTACACTAGGTTAGGTCCCGTGCCATGCACGGTTATTTTTATCACTCCATATTTTCTTTATATAAATTAATTTATGCCTTTATGGCATACAAAATAAAAAGTTAATATATTTGTAGAATAAATTATATTCCATCATAATTACACTTCTGTACAGAGATTATTTATTTCCTTATTAATCCGTACTTAATTGGGTAATAACATAAGAAAGGTAAATATTATTATTTCTTTATTTGGTTGACAAAAAAAAATTTCTTTTAAATAACTTCTTTAAATAAAATTTTCTAAATTATAAAAAAAAAATACAAAATACTTAGAACACACCAGAGCATGACACGTGTCATTGCTGGTGTGTCTTTTAGTATATAGTTATTGATTGATTGATGATTATTGATAGATATGTTACAACTTACAAGTCTTACAACAAATTATTAGCCGATTGATTTATACGTTGAAAAGATAATATCAAGATTTTTTATTTTTTTTTTTTTGGAAACGATCAAGATTTTTTTTGACAGATCTTTTGAAATTTTCGTAAAAAAATAAAAAATCTCTTGATAATAAAATCAAGAATATCTCGTCAAAAAAAAGAAACAAAAAATTCAAAAAGATTATCTCTACGTGATTTTGTTTCCTAATTTTGGGATACGTTTATGTTAGTTTAGGAAGCTAATAATAATTAATTTTAATATCCTAAAATAATGTTGCCGTGATTAAATTTGTTTCCTAGTCTAAGTATGATTCCTAAGTATGATGTGAAAAACTAAAAAGTGGTATAAATATAAGAAGGAGCCACAACAGAATTAGAAATTAAAGATAGAAATCGTAAATTCCCAAGTTTGTGTGCTCTATTAAGTTTAATCAGCAATGAATCAAAAAGAGTTTGACGAATCATGGCCTCTCTCTCTTGAGGAAACACAAACACCTTGGCTTCTGTATACCCATGACCATGATGATGATAGTGACTCTAGTGAGTGTGAACAACTCCAGGTTTTTTACTCCCCCGGTGACTCGAAATCGTACATGAAAAGTATCCCTGAATTGTGCCACAAGGAAACAATTGCTTTTTTTCATGGCTGGTTAATTCTACACGATCAGGAGGACAGTTGCATCTATTCTTTATTCAACATTACCACTCTACAGACCACAAGTCTTCCGCGATTACCAACTGATGATGTACCTGTTGGAGGGTTGCCTGTGTGCTTACTAACATCATCCCCATCCCCATCCCCATCCCCATCCCCATCCCTTGCTGATGATAATTGTATGTTTTTATTATCCATTGTTAGTGATATCTGTGATAGCCTGTTGTTTTTCTGCCGGCCATGGGCTGATACGTGTGATTGGGTCGTACAAAGTGTTGAGCTTGAAGATGGGTATCAAACCTGGTTACTCTTAATGGGGTTATATATGGTCGTTCATATGTAGAAGATCCCGTGAGCAATGATATATTCTATATAGTCGATGAATTGAACAAGCTGACCATACGACCCTTGCAAATTGGTGAACCGAAAATAGAATCAGAGACGGTAAATGAATTTTATCATACCTATTTGCTCGAATCTTGTGGCTGTATTTACTATGCAAAGATACTTTATCGTTTTATTAATAAATATCATGAAATAAACAACATTGTCGCTATCAGGGCATGGGAGCTGAATTTAGAGGAAAACAATTGGATGGAGTTGAAGAGTTTGAATGGCAGAGATTTTTTATTGAATCCTCGTGGTAGTACTTGGTGTTGGGGTAATAATGCTAAAGTTGGTGGTATTCATGAGAATTGCCTTTGCTTTCCTTTTCAAGTTCATTAGAAGATGACCCAAATATTATAGTTTCAGTCAACCTAGTTGATCAAACTTGGACCGTTGTTTCTCCCTCCCCAAACTTGGTAAGCCCTGATGAGTACTATGATAATCCTGTTTGGGTCGTCATGCCAAGGTTACAACTCAAGAACATTCCAAATCCGAACCAACAACAAATTCAAATCGAACACGAAGATGACAATATTAATGAAGAAGCACAAGAGGAGGACATTAGTTGTTGGTTTGATAAGCTGCCATTAGATATGATACAATCGCTTCCAAACTATATGCATTTGTTTGAGTATTGGAAATTTCGCGCTAGTTGTAAGATGTTTCATGCAGCACTCCCTGAACCTCTATGGCGAACCAACAATGAGTTTCCCTTATTCTTGTTCTTTAAGAATGAAGTTGGATTGTGTAAGTTGATGGACCCGTGTCGAAATGATGTTATATGCTCCAGCACCCTAGTTCCATTCTCTCAAGAGTTGGGTTGTAATTGATGATATAGGAAATTATATTTTCTTTATTAGCAAGACATCGTGTTGTTCAATAGTACCAAGTGATCCTACGATGAGAAACAGGATCTACCTTTCGAAGATAGAAGGGAAAAATATTGTGTTCTACTCTCTAGACACTAAGATGTATCACATTCTAGGGAGTGGGGATTCTAGGACGGATTTGTATGGTACGAACCAACCGTTGATGTGTTGCTGGGTTTAGCTAGCTGCGTTATGCTTATTAATTTTATGTACTTTTATTGATATTTTATAAATTTTATATTATGTTTATAATTATTTATTTTCTACAAAGGATTTTGATGTTTTTATAATCATTAGTTGTATTTTCGAAAATATATTAGCTTCATATTTTACAAGGTAATTAAGATAGATATGTGGTGGGTTACATTACAAATTTGTGATTCTGAGAGAAGCCATACCTAATTTCTCGTAAACAAAATTTGTGAAGAGTAAATGAATAGAAAACTGGTGTAGTTTTGAACTCACTAAGAACCATTGAATTATTTTTGGCTCTAAGTTTTATCTTGCATAACCTGAATTTATATCGATAAGCACCATATTACTCCTATTAAACACTAAAGTGCTCTAAATCATATTGTAATTAGCACTCTAGCAGATTTACATGGCTTAAGATCGAACACTTCCATTGAGGAAAAAGGCGATTTTTTCGCAGGCTAGTATATCACAATGTTTGTGATACTAGCTAGCCTGCAAAAAAACTAATCCGAAGATTAGCAACTTTGTTGCAGGCTAGTATCACAATGTTTGTGATCAAACGAGTTAAGTACAATTGTATTTGATCAAGTATTTCAAGATGTAGTATAATTATTACAAATAGATACAAATGCTTATGACAATTATCAGACTACAAGTACATTATTACAGTGAAAAGTTCAACTCAAGCATAGAATTTCGTCTATTCACAGTAACATTGCTGCTGTGGCAAATTAGTTCTCGAGGACAAAGGAAACAACCTTCCAACCATAAAAACAGAAATTCTAACTTTTTAATTTTCTGTCAGCGGAATTGGTATGAAGGCATTAACAGTAAAACCACCATCAGCCGTTATAGTTTGTCCAGTTATATAAGAGGCTGCAGGCAGACAAAGAAACGCGACTACTGGTGAAATTTCCTCTGGTTCACCCACACGTCCTAGAGCAATTCGAGACTTGACTGCCTTCAAATACTCCTTATGGTTTCTAAGTTCCTGCCAATTACCACAACTAAATATGTTAATAATGTGCAACATATCTTAACATAATGCGTAGGTATGTACAGAAAAAGTTGTCACGTTTCCTAAATTTTGTGTTACTTCGGAAATGAAATTAGTACCTCAGTCAAAGCAGACCAAATCACTCCAGGTGCAACAGAATTAACCCTGATATTGTCTTTTGCCCATTCACATGCCAAATTCTTTGCTAGTTGGTTAATTGCTCCTGTAAAATGATGAACAAATGTAACTGAAATTGCTATATAAATGAACAATATAATAATCCTTGAAAAGTCGAGTAACAAAGCTGAAAAGCTTTGTACCTTTTGCTGCCCCATAAACAGATCCAATATCAAATGCCATGGTACTAGCCATTGACGAAATGAACACAATGTTGCCTTGTCCTGAGGCCTTAAAGTGTGGATATGCAAGTTGAGATAAATGGTAAGCTGACTCGAAATTCGTTGCCATTGTATTCGTGTAATACTCTGGCGTTGTATCCACAGTTTCAATTCTCTTACAACCACCAGCATTATTCACCTGAACCCAAAACTCATATATAAATCTCGAGTACCACTCCTAAGACTTTATCGAATAACAAATAAGTTATTTGTTGTACACATGCTTAATGTGATTATATTGCTTACGAGAATGTCCAATTTTCCATTAAAATTGGAGTTTACAGTCTCCATTAGCTTCACTCTTTCGGGTCGAGAAGAAACATCACAAACTGAGCCGGTTACCGGAAAACCCTTTGCCTTCCAAGCTAACAAGCAAGCATCAAGATCAGCTTCATTCCTAGCACATGTATGTACAATTGCTCCTAGTCCTACAAGCTCCTCTACAATAGCATGCCTGCATAGTGCATATACATAAATATAAACTTGAATTACTTAAGAAAATTGATACTCCGTATTTCATTACTCAGTTTTCTATTATTGTAAACCGGGTCAATACAAGATTAATTGTACCAAATCAGCACCCGTTAATATATGTAAAATATAATCAGCATATTATTATTATTCGACGATAATGAAATACTATGAAAAATTACATAAAATATAGCACGAGTAGTTTATATACAATTATTTACTTGGTACATACCCGATGCCTCTAGTACCACCCGTGACAAGAGCGGTCTTTCCTTGGAGTGACCATCGCTTGTTATTGCCATTAGTATTTGCACTAATTACCTCCATTTTTTAATTCTTCAACTTGATTATAGAAAATGATTATTAAAAAAAACACACACTCACACACACAAAACTACAATTAAGGAAGTTGATTTTTGAAAGTGCTTTCCAAAAAAAAAATGATCATTTGAAAGTAAGCTTTATTTTTGGGTTATATTGGACTTATAGGGTAGGAGACCGAATGCCTAACAGTTTTTTATTTTTTATGGGAACAACCACGTGTCAATTTTACATCCAAACACAAAACCACAAAGGTAGTGAGTACCATAGTACCATACGCAATGAAAATTTGACATGAATGGCCACGGCTTTGCATGGACGTAACGTAATGTTGTATTTTTGGACAATTACATGTTTTTATTTTTGTAAGGTTAGAAGAAGACCACTTGTGAATCAGTGCCTCACAATCTCACACAGATTAAGTCAGCGTAATTTCGCAAGTCAATGCTTGAGAGTAGAAAAAATAAGAAAATCTCCCTATTTCTAAGTAATTGTAGTTGAAGAGAGTGAAAGCTCTTTAGCTCAAAGTCACAAGCTAAGGTCGATTCCCATCAATTCCACCAAACTTGCTTAGTTATTTTGGACATTTAGATATGGTCCATAATAGAGGCTATAGAGCTAATCAAGAGTAGATCGACAAGGCTACCAACGGTCTTCCTCTACCACATGTCATTTATACATTTAACCTCTCTATGAGGTGGGAACTGAGTTGGTTTTGTGTAGGTGAGAGAAACCAAATTAATTAGCAGCAATTAATTTATTAATAAGTCATTAATGTTGCATTACAATTACAAAGCTACCAAATCAGAGGAGTAAACAAACTATTCATGGTCAAAGTTTAAGAGACGAATTAAAATTAATACGGAGTAATAATTTGCTTTTAATTAAAATAAAATATAATACTTTATAATAACACAAATTTAATAAGAGCTCACATAACTATATTATTTCTAGTTTTTTTTTTTTTTTTTTTAAGAATAAATTATTTCTAGTTGATTATTGAGAATATATGGTTAAAGTTTTTTTTATTTATTTATAATGGGGCCAAAAAAAAAAAAGAAGAAGAAGAAGAAGAGAGAGAGAGAGAGAATAGAAGGAATAACGTTAAGTTGTATCACAATAAAATTCATAAATAATGTTTAGTTGTTGTAAGTTGTAACAACTAACAAGTTTATTGTATTCATTCTCTTATATGGAGTGTTTATTCTTAAATGAGTTTAGGACAACTATACAATAACTCAATTTAAGTTTTTGCAATATTCATCTATTACCTATTTATCTTTGATCATATACATGTATATTTGTATTAATATGATTACAAACTCAAATGTTATCATGTAAAATGTAAATGTTGTTAAATTAGTATTAATGTATATCATCCTAATATCAACTTTTTAAAAATTTTAATGAGGTAAATCTTCACATGTAAAATTGTCAAACTTATACATTAACATATGTGTTAAGTGAAACTGTGTCAATTATTCAAAAACAAAAAGAATAAAATAAATAAGTAATACATAAAATAAAATTTATAATTTTTCACCTCATCATCTTTTTAAATCTACAAACACTATATTATAAAGATTGGCTAATTTGAATTTTTGCAATTGTTGTTTTTATTACTCTATGTTAATATATTTTATGTCTCATAATTCACCATCCAAATTAAATTTTAACTATCAACACTACTTAAAAAAACAAAAATGAATAAATAAATATTACAGAGTAAGTAAGATTACATAAAAGTACATATAACTTTTGTAAGATGTCCCTCTTATGTCATTTTACTACTTAAATATCTATCGGCTAATAGATGTTTAATAAACATTTTAAAATTAAATAGCTAATACAATCAAGGAACTAGTCAAACACTTTAATTTGTAATATTAATTACCCCCGTTTTATATAATTTGCAACAATTTGACATAAAGTGTAAGTAGAATATATATGTCTAATCGTTGCAAATCATATGAAATAGAGGTAGGACAATCTAGTCATAAAAGTTTAGCATTACACTGTATAATTACCTAGCTTTCAATTTTCAGCTAAGATCACAAGGTAGTGCCTACATTAAGGGTCTGTTCACATTTACTTAATTTCAGTTCAGTTCAGTTCAGTTCAGCTCCAATCAGTTCAGTTCAGTCCAGCTCTAATCAATTCAGTTCAGCTCTTAATTTCCCTCTCTCATAAAATATTCATTTTAGCTCATTTCAGTTCAGTTCAGTTCCAATTAGTTCAGTTCAGTTCAACTCAGTTCAGTAAATGTGAACAGACCCTAAATATCAAATTACTATTATTAACAATTCTGATATTGATATCTTAAAATTTCTTTATTTACAAATAACTTTAAAATCCGAATTTGCTCGCGTATTATCTAGTTTTAATAATTATATCAAAATTTTGAACACCTTTATATCAAATTTCTACAAAATTATCTCTTTTTTTTTTTCAAAATACCATTAAGTGACATGTCTAAAATATTATTATACTTGTATTGAATTTCCAATCACACACATACAAAATGTTCAAAACCTTATATCTAAATCCCAAAAATAAGTTATTGTTCAATAACTTATTTCAATAACTCCGTACTAAATATAGGTAATTGGTAGAAAACCATTGACAGTGGCTCCACCATCAACAAATATAGTTTGGCCAGTGATGTAAGAAGATGCTGACATGCATAGGAATGCCACCAGACCCGACACTTCCTGGGGCTCTCCTACACGTCCCATAGCTATTCGGAAATTGATAACCTCCACACTAGGGATGTCAGTGGGGCGGGTCAAGTAGGAGACCCGCCCCATCCCCACCCCAGTGGGGCGGGGATGGGTCTCGGTTTGGCGGGTGGTGGGGCGGGGATGGGGATGAAAACGATACCCGCCATGGGTGATGGGGCGGGGGTGGATTTTAAGTTGTACCCGCCCCATCCCCGCCCCGCCCCACCCGCCCCACTTCGTACCCGCCCCATCTCCACCTCATACCCACATCTATATACTTTTATATTATTTTATAAAATAATTACGTGAAGTAAATATTAATTATAATATTTGTACTACACTTATATTATAAACAAAAATGTATGTAATATTAAGAATTTTTTTTAATATTATAATCCGTATTAATTATGTAGGATTGTGTATTTGAGACACGGAAATTTGGTGGGTCTTGGGTGGGGATTAGGCGGGTATTTGGTGGGGATTAGGCGGGGATGGATATCCAAGTGGGGGGGTGGGGCGGGGATGGTTTTGGAGTTGTACCCGCCGGGGCGGGGATGGGGATGAATATTAGACCCGCCGCGGGGATGGGGATGGGGATGGGGATGAAAATGTTAGGTGGGGATGGGGATGGGAAGGTCAACATCCGCCCCGCCCCGCCCCATTGACATCCCTACTCCACACACTCCTTATTACTAAGAATCTGTCAAATATAATTCAATCATACAAAGTTATTATAACTTATCAGTCTCTAAAATTTCGAGCCATTATTATACTTTCTCCGTTAATGGTTAATTGCAACAAAGAGGTATTATTTGTGAGATATAAAATATTCCTTTATTGCAATTAACTATTAACGGAGGAAGTATAATATATGCATCATTTATATAGGGACCGAGGGAGTATAACAAATTAACAATGGTAAATTAAAAAGATTTAATGACGGACATTACCCCTTGTGTCAAAGGTGTGTTGATGTACCCAGGAGCAACAGAATTAGCCCTAATGTTGTCTTTGGCCCATTCACATGCCAAATTTTTGGCTAATTGATTCATTGCCCCTACAAATAAAATTTTTGTAAACAAGGTATAAAAATTAAGATATTTTTAAATCTTCAGTCACACTTTTGTGCTGAAAATTTTTATTATACTAGTACATTACTTTGTAAATAGTGATATACAAAGTATTTTGTTTAAACAAAACTCAAAAAGATGGACGGAAATTTTGCAAAAAAATCACCTTTTATAAGCAATTTTTTGCAAGAAACCACCTTATAAATTTTTTTTTGCAATGACACATCTTAATCAATTTTTTTTTTTTTTGCAAATCAATACCTTTATGTCGAAAAATGAGGTTTGACCCCATTTTCCGGCATTGACTACCCCAATCTACCCACGAAACCACCTCTCTCCCCACCCTCACCCACGAAACCACCTCCCTCCTAAGCCCCAGCAACAAAACCACTCTTTCATGGCGTTGACCACCATAAACACACCCCTTTTACTGTATTTTGCTTCTACTATTCCACCATGTATAGGTAGACAATTACAGGTGAATTTATGTGTCCCGGCTCCTATCCTTAAACATAATTTAATTTCACCCACTTACTGACTAATTATAATTAAGAGTGTATATATGTAGTACTTGCTTCTTTATCGAATCTTGTGGACATAACAATTTTATACTAATGGTGTTAGCTCTACATATCTAGTGGCATTTTTGTAAATAAATAAAAAAACTTTTGTCAAATGTAGACCCTAATAATGTTAATTTATTTACAGAAACGCCATGATGACTGAGATTTTATATTGATTTATTTACGAAATTACTACTAGATAAACGTTTTTTTGTTCATCATGAAGTTGAACCGGAGCTCCCTCGATGCCAAATTGCCAATCATGCAACTGTAGGAGAAGTAGAAGTAGAGACGACAATAACATTCTCAAAAACAGTGAAAATGTTGTAACCAATTTAAGATACACTACAAAAAGAAAATGTGACCGTTAATTCGATTTGGAGTTTTTTTTTTTTTTTTAATTCACAATATCTACCATTTTTTTTTTTTGACGGGACAATATCTACCATTGATAAGTCCATTTGTGTTTTTTTTTTTTTTTAATCATTGTTTTTTTTGTAAAGAAATAGGAAAGGTAAACAAAGTTTATATACTCCGTAGCCTTCTTTCAATATTATTATAATCTAAACTAGCCTTCATTCAATATTATACAGTAATTTAAACTTATCAAATAATTTTTTTTTAATTACTATCTACAAAATAAAGGGTCTATCCAGTAAATTGCTACATGGTTGGTTTTTCAGTTGACATGGAATTATGGACCATATGGTGAGATTGAACAATCGTGCCGACCCCACTCATACCTATCTCTCCGACTTTTGATTTTTTTATTATTATTACAAGTTAAGAGGTACACGCTATACATTTTATTTATTTTTCGGTTTTGTTATTCATAGCCCTAAGGGC